TTAATATATATATATATATATATATATATATATATATATATATATATATATATATATATATATATATATATATATATATATATATATATATATATATATATATATATATATATATATATATATATATATATATATATATATATATATATATATATATATATATATATATATATATATATATATAACCGGCCGAATTTGCTGGACTTAATTTCTCACTTGACTTGGGGTTTATTAAAATTAATAGATGGTAATGGCAGGGAAGCGCTTCTTGAGAAAATCCCTAACCAGCACAAGAACACTTAAATCTACTACACAAATGAATTGTCCGTGGACTGTGGAAGGATAGCGGCTCTGGACTGGGATGAATGAGACACTGTAAAATTTAGACACTTATATTCCTCCAACACTACAAAACACAATCAAATAATGTACACCAATATGCGCACCTCTTAACTTAAACTTTAAAACACTACTCTGGGGAATAAAAGTTATAAATGACATAGAAATTATTAGAAACACAGGCAACAATAAATTTGAAGTATTAAGAAATGTTAATTGCACACATGAACAGGCCTTAAGGGTCACAAAATAATATCAGTCACTTAGGAAATGGTACTAAAAAAATAAGAAATTAAATACTCCACAATGAATAGGCCTTAGGGTTTTCAACAAAATAATATCAGTCACTGAGGAATGGTAATAAAATATAAGAAATTAAATACTTACAAATGAATAGGCCTTAAGGGCTTTCAACAAAATAATACCAGGCACTGAGGAAATGGTAATAAAAAATAAGAAATTAAATACTCTACAATGAATAGGCCTTGGCACTCCAACAAAATTATAGCACCTCAACAGATGCACACTTCAACCTAACTTAACCACTACTTGGGGAACAAGGTTATACTTGAGATCAGAATTATGAAGAACAATCAGATGCATTAAAGAATCAAATCACAGTATCACTCTGTCTCCACTTAATGACACAAACATTCAAAAACACTACTATCAAAATTATTTAAGAAATATTAAACTACACACGCCAAGATAATATCGTCTGAGGAGTGTTAACTACAATCTGCATGTTAAGGAAGATAAATGTTCCTCTAGGTATTCCTAGAGTCCTAGACTCACGGGTCTCACTGTGTGCATCCATAATATACTCAGATAGCCTCAGTGTACTCCCAGTGCATCCATGGGCAGGAAGAGAGTGAGCCAATCAGACCTTGTGCAGTTGAGAGGAGCTTAGCTTCCCTGCTAGCAAGAGGGTTTACCAGCTGCTCGGGACATGTGGTGTTGTGAGTTGAGGAGCCAGACCGGTGGACGGTACAGATTCCCTCAAGAGATCCTTTGGTACCCGCTAAAACAGTGACAGGCCTACTCTGATCGGTCCAATGGCGACAAAACGCCACCCTCAATCATCAACGGCAGTCTCAAACGCAGTCAATCTCGCAGTCAAACTCCGTCAAGGGGTTCTGACGAAACCCTGAAATGAACTCACTGTTAGCTCTAGTTTACTTTATCACTGCCCTATCTAACCCTGTCTGAGATCGAATGAGACTTACTTGTTATACTGCAATAGCGCAGCACAGGTGACTAGGCCACGGACTATTTCTGTGACAGACGCCAAGAGGGACGCCTTGTTTTGTATGAATCCTCCCCGCGACTGGAGAGAGAGGCAGCGTCAGATTTCAAGGCGTTAGCTTAGGCCCACGTGATATATTTTCCGCCTAACTAATAACTCCGTGGGACAATCCGCAACATTATTCAGATCAAGCAACCATCTATAATAATTTCAAATTCAATAATAGTCCTTAATCATGAATCGCATCATTATTAATTCGTAAATTACATTTAATATCATATAGGTCTAGTTCTCGCAGTCTCTCACGAGCAGGCAGCGCCCTCCCCTCAGATGACCTTGAACGCCAGTATCACTCTATGAGCGGGCATTTGAAATTACTCTGAAATTTCTGAATATTATATATATATATATATATATATATATATATATATATATATATATATATATATATATATATATATATATATATATATATATATATATATATATATATATATATATATATATATATATACAGAACGAGCAGGTAGCGCCCTCCCTCAGATGACCTTGAACGCCTCAGTATCACTCATGGCGGGACAGAAATTACTTGAAATTTCTGAATATATATATATATATATATATATATATATATATATATATATATATATATATATATATATATATATATATATATATATATATATATATATATATATATATTACATATATATATATATATATATATATATATATATATATATATATATATATATATATATATATATATATATATATATATATATATATATATATATATATATATATATATATATATATATATATATATATATATATATATACAGTAGTACCCCGATTTACGCGGTCAATTGAACCCACAGGGTACCGCGGAAAGTGAAATCCGCGTAAAGTGAACAACAGAACATATGGGATTAATTCCAATAGAGACTGGCCCGACCCCCAAATCCACTTTTTGAAGACACACAACTATGTTGTAGTAAAAATATTATCTTAACTTTATGATGGTATGCACACACACTTAATATAGAAGAGGTTAGGTTAGGAAAAATCAAGGTTAAGTTAGGAAAAATAAAGGTTAGGTTAGGAAAACTAAAGGTTGGGTGTAAGACTTACGTTAGTAGAAGAGATGGGTCGGCATACGGGGATGGAGGCTGGTTCCAAGGCAGAGGGCAGATTACTGGCCCTCAGGTGAATCACCATTACTAGGTGCATCACCATCACTCAGTTATAGTTGTCAGGGCTTCCCTGACAAATCCCTCAAAGTCACTTTCACTGTCACTATCACTGGCTCTGGCTGGCTGTGGTGGGTTGCGGGCGAAGAACTCGGTAATGCTTTTTTGACGGCTGGTGTTTATGTTGTCGTGATACACCTTGATGTACGGCTCCATAGCCTGCACCAGCCGGGTATGGAAGACTTCATAGCGGTCATCGTCAGGGTCGTTGGAAAGGAAGAGCTGTAATTTTTCTGCACACTCGATGGCACCCTTAATATTACTATGCGTTAATTTGTGTTCTTCTGGGATTCACGCACCACCTTCCTCTTCACTGACGTTATCATCTTCCAACATCTCGTCGGCAGTCACTTCAGGATCTCTGATCACCTCCAGGATGTCTTCGTTGGTGGTCTCGGAGAAGCCTTCAGCTGTAATACTGTGCGCTGCTTCTCTTGCAAGGTCCAATGCCACTGTCACAGACTGAACCTCACCAGTCACAGGTTGACTCCGCCTCTCACCGGTATGCCATGCAACACATGCCTCCATGCGTGACGAATCGTAGCTATAGACAGCTGATCCCATGCCTCCACCAAGAAGTCTACAGCTTGTTTGACGTTAAATTTCTTCCAAAACTGTTTGACGAGAACTTCTTGAGTCACCACCTCTTGTTCCTTGTCCTCGTCGCTTTTACTCTCGCTGTCGGTGTCACCCAGCTTAGGCAACCCATCCTTGGTGTTGGTACAGTCGTTCAGGAGCTTGAATTTCTTTGCCGAGTATGCAGCTTTAACATTGCAGATCAACTCCTGGTCCATGGGCTGGATTAATGATGTAGTGTTGGGAGGAAGGAAGACCACTTTTACGTTGGGGTGACGATCCATAAGTAGGGGCGAGTGTCTTGGTGCGTTTTCAAGGAGCAACAAAATCTTGAATGGAACATTTTTTTGCTCGCAGAATTTCTTCACGTCGGGAATGAAACAGTCATCAAACCAGGAGGGTGACAGAGCAGAGAACATCCACGCCTTGCGTGCGGTCAGCCAGTGGACATTAATCTTGCTCATGTCCACGTTCTTGTAGGCGTGCGGCTTGCGGACTGTGTGAACCGCCGATAACTTTGGTTTACAGGTACCGGAGGCATTGGTGGTAAAGAGGACGGTGATGCGCTCCTTCTGCAACTTCCGACCCCGAACCTTGCTGGCAGACTGGACAACAAAGGTCTTGGTAGGCAGCTTTTTCTAAAATAGGCCGGATTCGTCCATGTTGAACACCTGGTCGTCAGTGTACTGCTCTTCCTCCATAACCTCACGTAAGAACGGAGGAAAATCTCTAGCCACCACACGGTCAGCACTCGCTTCTTCACCACCAATGTTGATGTTGGTGATATTGTTCCTCTTCTTAAACCTATGCAGCCAACCAGAGGAAGCATTGAAGGGTTTGGGCTCTGCAATTCCCATCTTACGTGGCACTGCTGTGTACAGTTCACGTGCGTACTCTTGAATGGATCGCGTGTCCACCGCCATGTTGCGTCGCGCCTGACGAATCAAGTAACTCACCAGCAAATTGTCCACCTTTAGCAGCACCTTGTTCTGGCAATACTTGATCATTGAAGCACCTGCAGACATTGTGATTCTCATGTGCTCTTTGATCTTGGCTGCATCCTTCTTAATAGTACGAATCGTAGATTCGTTGACTCCATGCTTGCGCGCGAGATCAGCTTGACGTGTTCCTTTCTCCAAATCTTGAATATCTGGTATTTCATTTCGTAGCTTAGGGAACATCGTATCTTCTTTGGCTTAGGGCGGCTGGGTCCAGGTAAGGAAAGGTTTCTCTCTGGTGGTGGTGGTCCGGCGGAAGCCATTTCACAGAACAATGGATGCACGTATACACGGTGTGGCCTGGAGGGATGAAACTGCCGCGGTTAGGTCAAGCGTCGTTTTTCCTCCCTCCCTCCCGCGGGTGGACACGTCATATTACTTTAAACCAATTACAGCTAGCAGTGGAGGGAGGTAGGGATGCATGGCCAATCACAGTCCGATACGTCATATGACGTCAGTGATAACGCAACAGAGACATGCACTGCGCAACCTTACCACGCAGCCTGCCCAGGTGGAGGAGGTTCGGTGCTTTCTCAGTTTTCACTGTGTTCTTGTCACGAACACCTTGTGCCACTTAAGCACTTGCAGGAGCACTCGCTTGAACAGTATCACAAATTGCTTGTTCATTTTTCTTGATATACCGCACTGTGGATTTGTTCACACCAAACAATCGACCAGCCGCGGCAGCACGCATCCCCTCCTTTAACTTGTCTAATAATTCAAATTTCTTTGTCAGGGTCATCACTGACTTTTGCCTTTTACGTTTCACTCCACAAGCACTGACACTAGGCTGTCTTTTATGGGCCATTTTCACAAAGAAACACAAAAGTTTTGAGAGTATGAAACACAATGCTAGGTCATGGGTACTGGGTGAGTGCGAACAGAGGGAGATGAGACGCCGAGGGTGCGTTGGGTGACTCGTTGCACTGTGGGAAAAAGGCTCGCAAGCTAACCACCAGAGCCGCGAGCTGCTTACTGTGAATCGTCGAAATTGCGAATCGCAAACCCACGAAGGGCACAGCTGCTGTTTATAAGATAATTTATAACTGATTACAGTATATGTTATCTTTTAATATTATTTTTTATTGAAATCACATATGAAACCTATATTCAACTATATTTTCTTGTAAAACAGCTTTAATGAGGATTATCATAGCTTGGAAAGCATATAGCTACCTGTACTGTTTATGCAATCTGGAAATAGACATATTATGTCTGGGTCCATACTGTTACAGGAGCTCTGTAAGTTATAGCCACCAGATACAATATATAACGTCACAAGATGACAGATATTTTGTTTTGAGTATTGCCACAGAGAGGACTTAGAGAGTTAACTGGGAGATAACATATTGTAAATACAGTACAGGTTCAGTACTTCGAGTATCCAGGTCTTGCTCTCCATCTTCATTTGTCCCAATCCATTCTACATTTTTCTTTTGCAGATTAACTACAAAATCTGGAATATGTAAATGTAGAAATACAGTACTGTATTATAGTACAGTATTGTATTTAAGTGTTTTTAAGATTTTAATTGTGCATGCTACAGTGAAAAGGGAAAAAATACAGTACAGTGCATGAGGAGGGTTATGGTAAATACAGGGTATGTCATAACCAGCATTTTTGGATAGCTCAAATAAGTACTGTACAGTACTCTGTAAACATTGTAGGTGCTGCCCTCAGTCCCAGATATGGATCAGCAGTTGTCCATGGCAGCCAAGATGATTGACCGCCGAACTTCCACCCCAAAGGGCAATCACTCGTATAGTCCCTACTTCTTAGAATACACCCTGCTTGCTGAGTAGTGAGTATATGTTCTGTAATACTGTACCAACTGGAGTATTCATAGGAGAAAGCAAGGGCATATTAATAGTAATTACTTTCACTCATACTTGAATAATGATTTAATGTTAATTGTTTTTTTTAAAGCATAGACAGACTACTGAGTCAAACTGCTGCATGGTGTATTACATGGTGTTTATATTCAGTATTGATACCATTTTATGTTATATATTGGTATGGTTTTAGAAATATAAATAACAGTACAAGTTAAAAAAGTGAAAATGCCTATTGTAGGTTAAGAAATGAAATTCCCTACTGTATGAATTGAGAATTATTGTATTTATATGAGGCTTTACAGTGTCTTAATATCATAATCACAAATAATTATTACAGTAGAGTTATATTGTTGCTTTGTAATACAGAGAACTGTAAGTAACTTAAGAGATGCTGTAGCTGAACAGTATTCCTGGTAGTATTCAATATTAACCACAAAAGAAAATATTACTGTAGTAATGAAGTAGTGCTGTATCTGTTTTCTCACAAAATAATCTATATTTAGTCTGCCTTCACGTTTTCTACTATTTGTAGAACAAGCAAGTAAAGAGCTTGTGCATGACTGAACTGTCCTTATTGTAAATTTGTCTCTTACAGTAACCTCTTGCAGAAGCAGAGAGTTTCAGGTGTCTATGTTGTGCCATCAGGCAAATCACCTCTTGGTAAGTTATAGTCTTTATAGAGTAGATTTTATTGTTATATCTATCTACAGTATCTATATCTATACTGTACCATCTATACCTGTACAGTAAAGTACAGGTGTGTGTGTGTGTGTGTATATACAGTCAGTTCAGCTATAACGCGATAGTTGTGTTCTTGTAAAACATCGTGTTATAGAAATTCGCGTAATAGAAATAACAGGGCTTATGGAGAAAATAGGGTTAGGTGCAGATTACTACTCGAAATCGAAAAAATTTAGTAGTTAGCCTAACACAAAGGATAGCACAGTCTAAATAAATGTTACATTCATATCTAATAATGAAATCATACAGTAAATGTAACACTTTACCTTGAAAAAATATGAATATAACTTGATGGGGGAGTAGGGTGATTTTGAGGTTGATAACATCAAGCTTCTGTTCAAGGGTTATAGCCTTTCTTTTACGATCATCACTGGGAATGCGATCACCAGAACGCTTCTTGGAGATATTCTTCTTTACCATATTCACAGTTAATATCACAAAATTGGAGAAATAGTAAGCAAAAATCGCATTACAGCAAACAAGCATTCGTGTTATACAAATATCGTTCTTCTATTCATAAATCGCGTTAGAGCCAATTCGCATTGTCAAAACACGCGTTATAGCAGAACTCACTGTACAGTATATATGAG